TACAAAGTTATAGCATTTGCTATTTGTAAAGCTCAATGACTATCATACTTATTTAAAAAAAATTTGTCCGACACACTACTCTTATTCAACTTTATTGTGATAACTAATCTATTTGATACTTTACAATAAATCTAATTTTTTACAAACAAACTAAATATATTGAAATAGATTGTCATATTAGTTAGGCAAAAAGTTCAAACTAATGTCCTACATGTTATGCCTATCTCATCCTCTTTCTAGATAGTAGTAAGCTTGGCATATTAAACATATACATGTTAGCTTGTTGGGATGTTAAATTCAGCCGAAAATTATTCTAACAAATCTAACCAACTCCTTCTAGTTCAGCTAACTAATTTTGCAAAATTAGTAATTGACTAATTATTTCTTCTTCTTCTGTATATTTTGTTGGAATCACTCTTTCAAAATTTGTTGAGAGATTATTGTTCAGTTTTTTTTGTTGTACACTTTATTTTCTCTAAGTAATAAAAAATTCTTAAATTACTTCTTTGTTGTGCAAGTTTCTTGACCATGAAAAAATTAATTTTCTACATTTTATATAATATATTATGTTTAACAAATTAGTAGATAAAATAGTAAAATATAAAAATTAATTTAACTATGAAATTTAGAAATTAAAAGTTAATAAACAAGTTGATTGAGTTAAAAAATATTTTAATAAAAATATTTGTTAAACTACTTAATAAGTATAACTTGACATAAAAATATATGTTTAATAATTACTTGATTTTAATTTAAAATTTAGTAATTATGTATAGTTTTAAACCATTACCATTTTTTATATTTTAATTTATTTTAAAAAATTATTATCTAAAATTTAAGACAATATATCTTTTAATTACATTTTCTAAATAATCTTTTTAAATGAAATGAGATAATATAAATAATTTTTTTTTATAAAGAAATAAAAAAGGCTGATATAAATCATATATGTATAAGGAATTGTTTAGTTAAAAAGATAATGAATGAATTATAATTTGAGAATAATTAAGGATAACAAATAAACTACAAAGTACAACAAACTGCTAAAATAAACTTTTTCCCTAAACAAGCTTCATTTAATCAAATAAATTTTTAAGATAATCAAATAATCTAAAAGCTAACTTATTTATTTTCCCAAATAGGCTCTCTCTAAGTTTAGAATTGGAAGAATTGATTGACATATTGGTACGGATTTATGAAACCTTCCTTCATAGCTAAGGTTGTATATTTAAGTGCTCAGACCAAAAATGCTTCTTTAAGTTTCAGGTTTGAGGTCTCCGTGCATCAAATTAAATGTTGATTTTCGTCAAGGGATGCCTTCCTTCTTTTAATACACTTGCTTGATTTTTTTTCCAGAGATTAAATATTAATTATTTGTTTATATATGAACTTGTCACGACATTATTTTCCTATTTAACTGATAATTTCAAATCGTTTAGTCATGCTTGTTGGTAGATTGCTGATTTTCATTTTTTTTTTTAGCATAAATATATTGTTTCCTAACTAATTGTCCCTTCCCAATGCTTTATTATCGGAAGTTAATTTTAGATTAATGTGCATTCTACCAGGTTATTATAATTCACGTTATCAAAATTTATATAAAATACTATCTCCGTCCTTTTTATAAAAATTAAAATAGAATACTTTATTAATTCTTATTATAAGAAAAAAATAATAAATTTAATATACATTAATTGCTAAATTTTTTATACTTTTTTTTAATATTATTAAATATACAAATTATTAACTTTACGATTTAATATCATAGATATTTTTAGAATAAAATTTATATTTATAAAAAACATAACTGACTCAATTATTTTTCTTGATTCAAGTAATTGATTCATTAAGAATAAGTATTACGAAGAACCTCACATCATATTCACTTAAGCTGTTAAATCTATCTCTCTATTCATATGATATTAGACTTGAGGGTTGAAACCCTAAAAAGAAAACGTTGAATATTTACACTCATATATAAATATAATGTTAATCGTGCTCCTTTTATCAAGTTAAACTACTTATACACTCATTTTTCCTTCTTAATTTAATTAATTGTTATGAAACATTTAATTCTAAAATATTTATCAAATTTTAGAGTAGAAAAATGTATACAAAAATATTATTACACACATTTAGAGAACTTAGAAGTCCGTTATAACTATTTTATATATTAATATAGGTTTAATTTAGATAAGCTCATGAATAAGTATTTATAAAAGTTAAAAATTAATAAATAATGAAATAAATCAATATTATACTTATATATCTTCAATGTAATAAATATTTTTAATGAAAAGAATATTATTTTTATATAATTAAAATAAAATTTTAAAATTAAAGTTAACAAATTTGATAATTAAATTAGTCTAATTATCTTGCTCCATTGGCATTAATCAGTGAGTGGGTGGGTGCAATAAATCTTGCTTTGTTTATTCATCTCAATCGCCATTATACAGTTAGTGGTGGAAATTGTTCAGTTACTCCGCATGGGAAATTGTAAACAAAATGTCATGCAGGGGAATGAACCCAGGCCACAAAACTAATTGCAAGTAGAAATACCCCTGTGTTAGTCCATTATTTCATTTAAAAACTGAATGATTTCAATCATAAGCAACCCTGCACTTTCTTGTAGTTTTTGGCCTTTTTTCTTTGGGCTTTAAGCAACTTATATAACTTTTGTAACAAAAGTAACTTGTTGCCTTTGCTTTGATAGGCCAAGAGGGAAAACTAATAAGATATAGATATTATGATCAGGGTTTGAAATCTGAATCTAAAATATTCTCATATTTTCCTCCTTCAATCTCTAATTCACTTTTCCCTATGAAAAAAAAAATAGTCACATTAATAAATTATATATTTTTCAAAATAATAACCACTTTATAATCAGTTATGAATTGTCTTAAAAATATATCTTATTCTTTTTTGACAAAATGCATATTATTTGGCAAATTTATTATAATATTGTAAATTAAAAAATAATTTATTATTTTATAGCAAATCTGAAACAATTTTTCAATCTGGAGTTTTTTTGTCACGTGGATCAAATTTTTGCCAAACGGCTAGTGAAAGTAATTAATTTTTGAATTTTTTTAATATCTATTTCGCCACAAAAAGTACGAAATATGACTTCTTAGAGCAGTTAATTTAAAATCGCTCTCATAAGTCTATTTTAGAGAGCGGTTCAAAAGGAACCGCTCTCATAAGTCTATTTTAGAGAGCGATTTAAAAGAAACCGCTCTCAGTAGTCTATTTTGGAGAGCGATTCATATATGAACCGCTCTGAAATTTCATTATTAGAGAGCGGTTCCATTTGAACCGCTCTCAGAAGTACATATTAGAGAGCGGTCCTGTCGGAACCACTCTCTTAGATTTAAAATGAACGGCTGGGGAGATTTTGATACACGTGGCAATATCTGAGATGATTCGCGCTGCTACTGGCGAAAGTTTATTTCGCCCTACAGTTAGCGAAACCGATCCTTGATACATGTTTTGCCTTGTTAAGAAGATAGGTTAAATTAAGATTTATAAAATTTGTTTACAGGAATTATTATAGATATTTATTAAAATACAGAATAATAAAAATTGAGTTAAATAAAATAATTATATAAAACTAAATATAATAATTTATACTTAGTTTGATTGTAATAAATAATTTTTACACTTATATTGAAGTAAAATTTTAAAATTGTAAAATTTTAAATGCAGTAATCATAATTTATATGAAATGTATGTATAAAATTTGCATGTAAATAATAAAAATTTTTACTTTTAAAAACGTAATATAATTTATATGATTATAAACTAAATGTAATATATGTAAATTTAAATTAGAAAAATGAAAAAATAAAAATATAATTTAATTTTATGCTAGTAATTAGAGTTTTGTATTTATATAAAATTTATGTAGATTTAAATTAGAAATATAAAAAAATAAAAATGTAATTTAATTTTATGCAGTAAGTAGAGTTTTGTATTTAAATAAAATTTGTATGTAAATAATAATATTTTTTACTTTAAAAAACATAATAGTTTTTATATAATTATAAATTAAATGTAATTTATGTAGATTTAAATTAGAAATATGAAAAAATTAAAATATTTTTTAATTTTATGCTAGTAATTAGAGTTTTGTATTTATATAAAATTTGTATGTAAATTTTATGTAGATTTGTATGCAATTGGCTGTATATACCTAAGAGAGCGGTTCCGTTAGAACCGCTCTCTAAAATAGACTTATGAGAAATAGACTTATGAGAGCGGTTTTAAATTAACCGCTCTAAGAAGTCATATTTCGTACTTTTTGTGGCGAAATAGATATTAAAAATTCAAAAATTAATTACTTTCGCCAGCAGTTTGGCAAAAATTTGATCCACGTGGCAAAAAAATCTCAGATTGAAAAATTGTTTCAGATTTGCTATAAAATAATAAATTGTTTTTTAATTTACAATATTATAATAAATTTACTGTATTATTTTAATGGTCTCTTATGTTTTGGAAAATGAATTAAAAATATTAAAAAATTGATTAAAACAAATGTGGTATCTGACATCTTTTTTAATCTTGGGGGAATTAAACCATTGCAAGTAAGTGTAAGGGATACAAAGTAAAAAAGCATATTGACAAAAATAGGACTAATTTTTTTTAATTATTATTATTTTAAAAACAAATAAAGCAAAATGTTGACCTATAAACTGAAAATTTGTTCATCTCCAACTCACGGGTTGGTTGAGACAAAAGACAACACAAATCCCAAAGCAAATGCTAAATAAAAACAAAAAGAGAACATACAAATCTCAATCCAAAAAGCTTATACAATGGTGAGAGAACATCTAAGCATGTGTTTGAATAAGATTTCTGCTCCCGCATACATTAATTTTCGATGCATGCATCTGAGAAGGAGAAATTTTCTCCTTCCGTTAAAGCAAAGGGAGTCCAAATCCCAAGCTAAAAGTCAAATAAGTTTAAAGGAAATACAGATCTCAATTCAAAAGCTAAATGAAAATTAAAGAAATCGTATAAATATCTACTCAAAATGTGTCAAAAAGAAATTCCAACACAAATAGCAAAAATATGTCCAATACAAACTGAAAATCTGAAATACAAAGCAAACAAACAAATTTTAAAACCCAAAATAAACATAAATGAAACATGCCAAACTAAAACTAAATAATAAATAATTAGTGAGAAATTTATACCAAAATTTAATAAAACCCTGGGTACATGGTTGGTGCAAATTAATTGCATGGTTGTGTTTAGACATAACTTACAAGACGAATTTTTTTACTCAAACCAAGGTAATCATTTTCTGTGAATTTTATTTTGTTCTTCTGCCAGGCTTGTGGTAGCAGGAGTGGAGCCAATGTTGCTCAAGGTTGCAACACTCTCTGATGTGTCTTGTTCCACTCTGAACTTTTCATAAATGTCACCTTTGTAAAACTTTCTAGTCCTTAGCACCAAAATAAGAGAAACAAAACAACCAACCAATGTTGCTGCGGTGATTATGATGAAAGCCATTCTATAGCATTGCACTCCAACACAAGTTAAGTCCTTCCCTGATTGTCTTGTGAGTCCCTTCATCTTCAACTGTTTCAATGCCTCTTTATCATACAAATAACCAGTCACTCTCACGTTCAGTATGTAAGACCCAACAGGGCTTGCCACCGCTCCAAAATTATATAAGGTGGAGTAGTGTTTAAGGCCAAATATTTCAGATATGATGGCAAATAATAATGGCCACATAGCACCAAAGCAGAACCCAATAACCACCGAAGCAAAATAAAGAGAGTTTGGGATACCAAAGGCAATTAGAAGATGGCCAAGGCAAGAGAGAAGCATGACAAGTGTGAGCATTAAGGGACGAGGGAACTTGTATTTGGTCAAGAAGAATTCAGAGGCAAAGCCAGAGGCTGTTCTTCCTAAATAGTTCCATATACTCACAAGTGACACAAATGTTGTTAGGCTCTTTTTTGGGTATCCCAAAGAGTTTCCAATCTGTCCCAAATTGTCAAGTGCCGTCAGCGTTCCACCAACACCAAACGTTGTTGCAATGAATAGAATCCACATGTCAATGCTGAACAATGCTTGAATGATGGTGTAATCTTCACCTCTTTTGGGGGGATTGAATAAGTTGCTTAGACAAGAGTTTTTCCTTTGTGGGATTGTTGTACTTATAGCTATGGAGGCTTGTGCTTCTGGCTGCGGCAATTCTATAACTGAAGATGGAACTTGAGTCCCTACTTTTAGATGAGAAGCATCTGCATCAGTGAAGGTTTGGTTTTGAGTCTTCCGAAGTTTGAGTTCCTCTATAAATACAACCGCAAGAGGGAGAAGAAGTAAGAGAAGAATCAGCACGCCATCCACTATGTACTCAACCCTTGTAAAAGACAACTTGTTTTGTATGACTATCAAAACCATGAGAAACCCAGCAACCCCAAGTGAAATACATAGAAGTTTGTAAAAGACTTTGATCTCTTTGGGTTGTGGCACTATATTCAACACACGAACTGTTGGAAGGAAAATGAAGGAAATGGCTGCAGGAAGCCAACCAATGAGGAAGATAAGAGCTTTGGAGTTGTCACCATAGAAGGCATGGTATAGCTGAGTGAAAATGGCACCACTTAGACCCACATAACCCTTGAGCAAACCAATCACACTGCCACGGCTTCTTGGGAAACTTTTAACACAGTTGACTAATGCACCCGTATTTGCAAAAGACTGTGAATTAGCACCAATGTAAAAGTAGAGACACATTTGCCAAACATGTGGTTTAGCAATGCGTTCAGTGACAGAAAGCCATATCATGAAGTAGCCAAGGAAGTTCATGGTGGCCCCCATGGCTAGTATCACCCAGGGAGGACTAATCTCATTGATTAACCCTGAGAAAATTCCAAGGTTGGCACCAAGGTCTTTGAAGAAGCTTATCAAGTTCAGAGTTGACTGGTCATAGCCCAATGAGGTTTTGACTTCATTTGAGTACAAACTAAACATGTAGGTTGCTCCAGAAACTGCCATGATGAGACATGAGGCAAAGATCATGAACCAACGCCCAGTGATAACGTGGTAGATGAAGGCCTTCATTTTTCTTAGCTCAGCCACCATCATTTTCCTTTTCTGTGTTCAGATGAAATTATGGTAGTTAATAGGGCGTGGTGAGGTGTTCTTGTCTAAATAACAAACACGCTATGTTATGGCATTAAGGCTATAATGTGGGTTGATTTCGTGGAGTCAAAAAGAAAATGGGATAAGAACATATATACCCAGAGGATGCAATTATATGCTTTTAGTAAAGAAAAAAGTGGCATGTGGTAGCTAGATTCTCCACCAAAAGTGGAATCAGGTTCAAATCCTTGGGAAAAAAAGATGTGTATGATTTGAGAAAATGACAAACACAAAAGGATTCTCCTTCAATCAGCCATTAAGTGAAGAGATGGGATTCTGTGGGAAACTTAGGAATATAAGAAAATCCAATGAACGTTGTCTTTTGCAGTTGATACTCGCCCCTTTAAAGCAGGGGATAAGGTAGAAAAGCGCTCTATTTATGTCAGAGAATTTTTTTGTTACTGCAAGGGAAAACGCAGGTTCTTATCACTGTGTTTGATTTTGTTTTACTTATGTGTATTAGTGACAAATCATTGATTATTAACAAGAATAAATAAATCTCAAATTGTCACGAGTTTTGGAAGAATCTGCTCAGGAAAAGTGGAAAGAAGATTGGGGTAGGGTGCTATGTCCTTATTCTGTCGGTGGAGAAGCTTATTACTTTTCCAAACACAATTAACAAGTGATAATAAATATTTATTAAATTTCATAAGCCCAAATATAGTAGCCTGACTCCAAACCTTAAAAAAAAATCTTTTAAAAAGGGGGTAAATATTTTAATTTGCTTAAATTATAATTTTTTTTAATAATGGGTGATTTTTCTTCTTTGTGATCGTGTTAGTGTCATCAATAGTTAGTTTTAAATTTCGATTATTAATTTTGAAATTTTATAGAGTAAAATAAAAATCTACGATGAAGGCCATAATAAAGGTGTTCAAACTGTTCTTTTATTTTTTAAAATCTTAATGGTGAGGATAAAATGTTCAAATTTAATTGTTAGGAATATTAAGAATTATATAAAGAGGAAAAATGCATTCAATAAGCATTGTTAATATTTATCTACCACTATTAGAAGATTTATTTTATATAAAATGAACTTTATATGTATGAGGATCCATTATTTTTTTAAAATTTATAATTCCTTAAAAATAAAGAGAAGAGAGCATTGTTATTTTTAAAATAGTACAAAAGGAAATTAAGGTAATTTATGCTTGAAAAAATAAGCACAGGACTCTCTGTTTAGGATGTGTTTAGAATTTATCTTTTTGAACTCTTTATATTATGTTTGGATTAAGAAAAAGAAATAAATTTGAGAAAAATGCATTAAAATGACATTGATTATCATTGTTTAAAATGTTTAATTAAAATAGGATGAAATATATATAGAAGCAAAATTTTTTTATATTCGTATAAGTCTGAAAACTCTTATACTAAATTTAAATCTTTTATTTAACTTACATTTAACGGGTTGTAATTTATTATTTTACACACACATATATAACTGTTGTTAAAATTTATTTCTATCATTTCTTTTATTTTTCTTTCCCTTAATTAGAGGAATTATATGACCCATTTTATTATAATAATATAAATATTATTAATGTGAAAGTTTAAGAAATGTTCTTTATTATATACTCGAAGATATTAATCAGTACATTTTCATGTTCACAACGAATTCTATATATCTTGACAAATATTTTTTTATTATGCTTGACAATATATTTATAATTGAATTTCTTAACATGTGTATATTTATAATTTTAAAATATTTTAAATAACAAATATATTTCTACATATAAAGTTCAGCATAAACATAAGTATATATACTCCATATTAACATTACTCATAAATTAAAACCATATATTTTTTTAAAACAAAATATTCTTTAATTTTATAAATGTTCAGTACCTAAGAGTACTTTTAGTGGTGGAACTTAAACGGGTTCTTAAATTTACTTTATATGAACTTTACAGTGCTACATGTGTTTGAATTTTTTTTCACTTTAATAGATAAAACTAAAGCTTGAGCTCTTGAATTACTTTTTGCGAATTCTATTAAAATTATTATATTATTTATTTAAAATTAAATTTAACAAAGCTTGTTTATTAGTAGAAGAAAGTTTTAGATAATTACTTTTTGGAGAATAGTGCAGTTCGTAAAGCACTCTTGTTGGTGACTACTCTAATTTTTATAATGAACCAATTTTAAGTTCAAGAACCATTTTCAAGAACTACTAATAAAAATACTCTAAAGAGTTGATATTATTTAAGTCGATAGTATTCATAAGTATCAATAAAATTTTATTGAGATATATGAAATAAGAAAGAAAAATAAAAAAATACATTATCATGAAAAAAATTACAACTAAAATTAAGAATTATGAATATAATAACAAAGAAGTAATTTAGAAATGATAGTGCCAACTGAGCATTGACCTCATTTTCAAATACAATGTTCATGTGATAAATATATAGTGCATGATAAGAGTCATTTTTTAAAAAAGAAAATAAACATCAAATTGAAGATGTTTTCTCAGTAAATAAATGTCTTCATTGATTTGGGTTATCAATGAAGTTGCTTTTACTTAGAAGTTCTGTCATTTATTAGAGAACCAGATGGTATATATAAATTATCTAGACAAAACAAAATCATGTGATCGCATTGGTGATTACTGTGATTATGAATTGTCACAACATAAACTATAGTATTGTATAAAAGAATCCAAAGCTCATAAGAGGTTGGTATGTCATCAGCAGTGTGATAAAATTAGATTTTCAAAATACCAACTAGGTACAGTACCAAAGTGAGATAAGGTATCTTCAGGTGATAATAAACTCACTTGATTTAGAAATATTTTAAATTCTTAATATCAGCTCTGGCTAATTTTTAATATTTTAAAAAATATGAAAATATATAAAGTATTTTTAATATAAAATTTTAATTTTAAATATTTAAAATTAACCATAAAAGGTGAAGTTTATAGAAATGATTAATTAACGTTCAACGTACATCAATATTTCATGGGACTAGTTTAAAATAGTCTATAAATAAATTATTAAAAATAATAAGCAATATGATTATATATTGAAGTTACAAAATTGTTTCATAATTTATTTACTTAAGACACAAGTTAATACTTATCGAATTTCATTCACTATAGGAAAATAAGATTTTGAGTATATTTAGTACAATCCCTCATAAAAAAATTAATTGAAAACTTATTATTCTTTTAATGTTGATTGCTGGCCACTATAGATGCCAATTAGGGATGAATTGAAGAAATTCTTACAAGCTATTGAAGTCAATTATGAATTTAAATGTACTCAATTGGACTGAATTAAAAACAATTTGTAAAATATAAAATACACTCTTTCTCTTCTCTTGTTAGGGTTATTGGAGATCAAAGTTAAAGAATCAAGATCAATATCATCAAATTACTAAAGTTACTCGAACACTTGTGAAAGTGTTTATACCAGAAAAATATAAAGAATAGATGGTTAACAAGACGTAGAATCTAAATAGATTGTCTCATATCAACTAGTAATTATTGTAGTCCAATATTTTTAAAATGATAGAAAATGCAAATAAAAAAAATATATCTCTTCAAAAGTGGCAATTAAGAAAATGAATAAATTAACTTGTTGGTACACTAATTGTTACAGGTCAAACTTTTATTGATGTGATGGTGCATATTTGAGTGGTGATATAAAATAATTATTAGAAATAAATTAACCATTAACTTGGTTGAAGATGAGGAGTGTCGCAATTGAAAATTAATTTAAAAAAGATCCAAAGAATAAGATTAACCAATGAAAGAATAATGGTGCCATTGTAATTATTATCCCATGTCTCTTTGTACCCAAAACTAATCTGATAAGAGGATTATGGAAATGATCACCACTACCCCCACGTTCTTAATTGTATTACTTAAAAAAATTAGCAAGTGGTAAATGATTAATTCATTTTTGTTATATATTTGTGAGTTTTATTTTTTTAATATAACGTCACACTATTATTTTAAATAAAATACAATTTTAATCTACTGTAAAAGTGTAACTCAGTTTTTAAAGTAAAAATATATAAATGTATTAGCTTTTTTTTCTACCATGTTGATAATCTATTTTTTAATATAAAATAATAACTTTCAATTATCAAATATACTGATTAATTTTTTTAAAAAATCATGAAAGTATTTAATCTAGAATCTTTAAATATACAAATAAAAGTATTATACTTATACCATATATGTAAAGTACATATTGTTAAATTTAGCGTATAAAAAAATTATATTATCTTCTAATTTAAACAGTCAAATATTACATGATTATCTTAAGTGAAAGAGTTTTTAATCAACATTTATTATTTTCTTAATTTGTTACATGATTTTCCTTATATTTAATTTTAATTTTTTCATATATTTTCTGAATTTTGAAAAATATTATCTACATAATATAATAAAATATTTAATTATTATAATAAATATATTTACTCTTTTTAAAATTTATAAAATTTTAAATTAAAAAAATCATGTAATATGCTATTATTTTTATTAACAATATTTTAATTTAATATTATTCATATAGTATTAAAAAATGACTAATATAAATTTTTAAATATATATATATCATATATAAGTTATAGATTATAAATGATTAATAATTATAATAAATTTTATATTATTTTTATTTAAAATAATCTATGATTATTCATGATAAAATAATTTTAAAAAAAATAAATTATCAGTATATCATACAAACTACTAACTATTCTTATAATAAGATATAAACTTTACTTTACAAGAACATCATGTAAAACTTTCGTTTTAGATGCATTTATTATATTTTATTAGAAGTTTTCCAATCTTAAGCACTAAGAGTAGTTAATAATGAAATGTTTAAATAAAAATGATTTTGAATCTTCCTATAGTTTTTCTTTTTAACTATAACCTACTAAGTCAAACAAATATTTTTTTTCTTATACTTTTACAATATTAAATTATATGTATTTTTTTATTGAATACTTTTAGGTAAAATATTAAGGTTTATAAAAAGATACTTTGAAAATACAAGATTTCCCTTCACATATTGGAAATTTGATAAATGTCTATAGTTTTAGAAATCATTTATTAAAATAATATAAAAATATGATAATTTATACAGTTAATTTTATTGTAATAGATATTTTTTTTCTATTAAGATGCGACGTAGACTGCTCGATACTTTTTTTGGCCAACAATTTGGGATAGAATTGGGCCTTTCATGATAGGCACCCCATCAAAGAATCCTATTTTGGACTTCATAGTACCCAACCTTTTTCATTTTAATTTTTTATTTTTTTTTTTATTTTTTATGTATTCCTCTTTTATATGAAGGTTGCAGAATATAAAAATAGGTTCATTCTCTCCCACAACTAATAAATTATCCAATTTATATGAACCACTCACCACCCCAAACAAATTAATATTGTAAAATACACATAAAAAAGTGTCTTCATTCATCCAAATCAACACAAGATAACAAAATCACGTTTGCTTGGGAATATTAAATGGGGAGAAAAATTCTATTATTACTAACAAACTCTTTTTATTTACAATTGCAAAAGAGATGTCCTTCTTCTTCCACTTCTCACTTAGACTTTTCCTAAACACAGGCCAATTTAAGATTAATTCACCGAAAGTACAAACGAACCTTGGCCTCTTGGGTTGCCTGGACACTCATCCACACGGCATCAATTCCTATTTAGCTGTTCAATCGGCTAAGAGTTCAATGCTTTCGGTTTTAGTATTGTTTTTATTGTAAAAAATATTACGTGTAAAGCAAACTTAGCTTAATATTAACATTTGGCATAAGAACAATCCATTTCAATCATGCATGGAAGGAAGAAGAAGGGAAGATTATTTGTCACTCTGTGATTCTTCATTTATTGTCATATCAAACTTTATTTTAAAAAAATAAAAATCTTTTTACAAGTAAAGTTTACCAAAAGAAAACCCTTCAATTTATTCTTTCAAAGTTAGATGCATTATCACGTTAGTTCTTCCATTGGTTGATGATCAAAATTAATTTTTTTAAGGATTTAAAACTTCATTATATTACTCTTACAAAAATTTTATTGCCTAGAAGGGCATATATCACATCCTCGCGTCTACGTTTTTCAGCATGATACATATATACCACCTCTTCCTCAGTAGATGTTTAGACCTAAGTTGTTTACACCTTTATAGGACGAGTTGGACTTTAAAACATGAGACTACTTTAGTATCCTCATTGTACAATCCTAAATAATAAGCCAACGTTGTCACACTAGGTACATATATTATTTTGTTGTTGTTACTCCATTGGTATAAATATAGTGCATTTGCAGGTACACCTCCTTCCACCATCATTACCTCGCATACCAACATCGAAGCAGTGATTCTTGATTTTCAATGAGCCAGTCTATCTCTAGGCCCATTAGAGAGTTCAACGAAATCATTATGTTATACAATATATTATCCATTAAGTCAAGGAGTCTTAATATTAATGCATAATTATTAAAAAAAAAGTATTAACTTTGAATAATATAACCTGATTGAGACAACCAAAAGTATAACCTGAATGTATCATCAAAATACATTAGTCTAGTTTGAAAAACTCAAACACGTCAACATTATCTCTTGACCAAGTCAAGTTGGTAGGACAAGACGGGTTACAAACACCCGTATCTATAACTCACAATTTTAAAGATTCATACCCACCCACAAAATAAATCTTTAAAAGATAGAAGAAAAAATTATAAAAAATTGTATGAATTAACTCAAATAACAGAAATGTTTTAATAAATACATATTTTTTAGGTTTAATAAATATGTTTTAAGTCTTTTACAAGCTTCTATATATTTCACTTGGGGTTGCTGGGTTTCTCATGTTTTTGATAGTCATACAAAACAAGTTGACTTTTACAAGGGTTGAGTATATAGTGGATGGCGTGATGGTTTTTTTCTTGCTTCTTCTCCCACTTGCTATTGTTTTTAAAGAGGAATTCAAACCTTGGAAGACTCAAAATCAAACCTTCACTGATGCAGATGCTTCTCAATTAGAAGTAGTGTCTCAAGTTGGGTGAGGACTACACCATCTTTCAAGCACTGTTCAGCATTGACATGTGGATTCTTTTCGTTGCAACAACATCTGGTTTTGGAGGAACACTGACCGCACTTGGCAATTTGGGACAGATTGGGAACTCTTTGGGGTACCCAAAAAAGAGCCTAACAACATTTGTGTCACTTGCGAGTATATGGAACTATTTGGGAAGAGCAGCCTCTGGCTTTGCCTCTGAATTCTTCTTGACCAAATACAAGTTCCCTCGTCCCTTAATGCTCAAACTTGTCATGCTTCTCTCTTGTCTTGGCCATCTTCTAGTTGCCTTTGGGATCCCAAACTCTCTTTACTTTGCTTCAGTGATTATTGGGTTCTGCTTTGGTGCTATGTGGCCGATATTGTTTGCCATCATATCTGAAATATTTGGCCTCAAATACTACTTCACCTTATACAATTTTGGAGCTGTGGCAAGCCCCAGTGAGTCTTACATATTGAACGTGAGAGTGACCGGTTATTGTATGATAAAGAGGCATTGAAGCAATTGGAGACGAAGAGACTCAAAAGACAAAAAGGGGAAGACTTAACTTGCTTAGGAGTACAATGCTATAGGATGGCTTTTATCATAATCACTGCATCGACAATTGTTTGGTGTTTTGTTTCTTTAATTTTAGAGTTAAGGACAAAAAAATTCTACAAAGGTGACATTTATGAAAAGTTCAAAGTGGAAGTAGAGGCTACAATAATTGAGAAGGGGACTATAGAAAATGGTACGGTTCCATTTGGAACATAACTTGTTGCATTAAGCAACACAAAGGCCACAACTGCCACCCTAAGCGGCACAGAAGATCAGTCAGATAAAAAAATTTGAAAGTGAACAATTATTTAAAGTAAGATTTGTTGGCAGTCAAAGTGCCATTAAGTCTGGAGCCTTGTTATATGCCCATAAACAAAGTGGAAATTTTTCATCGAAACAGATGGTATTTGCTGGGTATATAGCATGTGAGAATAGATAAAAATATTATTTTATCATATCCCATCTTTTAGGATTAGTTTCTTTATTCTTTCATTATATTATAATAGAATTAATTACTATTCTTTAGGATTAGTAATTATATTTTCTTATCTTGTTATGATTTATTTTCTTAATTAGATAGGATAGTGATTAATATAAATATGGGATAGTACTTTAACTTTTATGAAATCAAGGAAGTTTCATAATACTGTAATACTTCTCAATTAATATCAATTCTCTTTTATTTCTCTTTCTATCTGTACCTAAAAACACCACTACTTTAACAACTTTTATTTTATTTCTATTTTAAATTTTAAAATAAGATAAATATACTTCTTAATACTTACTCTTCTTAAAAATATTTAACAATACATGCAATGCAAGTAATGTGCAATCTGTTTCTCTTCTTTTCCCGATCAGGTGTTCAGAATTGTATTTATTCATGTTTGCATAGCATATATTTAATTAAAATTAAACTATTAATATAAATATTGTAAAATTATATTAACAAATTAATATGTTATATTATAATATATGATCTCATTGTATAAATAAATATATACTGTCAGTAACCATATTATTAATATAGATTTACAAAATTTACACTAATAATTTAACTTCTATTAAATAAAACTATATCAATAATACAACTATAACATCATCTTTCTTTTGTAGTGGTGTTTTAACTTCTCATTGATAATGTATATTTTCTTTCGGCTCTTTACTCCTATTGGGACTGGGCTGGGTTTCTCAAATTTAAAGCAAGACCCAACGTCTGCAATTAATCAGATGTTGAGATTCCTCTAGATTGGACCTAGAAAAAAAATTCCCATACAATATTATTGTACGAGCATACCAAACAAAAGTCTTCAAATGACCAAAAATACAAAAATGCTCCAAAATTTTGGTCAAACCAAAAAAAATTGTGTTACTTACTAACACAGTTTCTGGAGCAATAACAAGAAACAAAATACTGGCTGCCCTGATTAACATGCATCACCTTGTTAGTTGCTACTAGGCTCGATGGTGTTAAATTATTATATTATTTGTTTTAAAATATTTAATGTTGTTTATGTGGAGAAACAACGTATTATTCATGTTTTAAAGATACTTGGACAAACTATACACAAAAATATTTTATCCGAAGACAACAAATTGTCCTTGATGACATCCAAACAAGATAATTTAAAGTTCAAACATGGTACGAATTTCTGAGTCAAATGAGAAAGTGGATCCATCCTTTGTCATTCTCCCCAAAGAACTTTAATCTGTCTCGTGAGGATGTAATTCATTTGCTCTCTATATATGTCATACCCTATTGTGAATTATTAGAATTTGGAATTTTTAACCATGGATGAAGCCAAGAGATTGGAAGAAGGCCTAAGTACCCCTCAGAATGGTTACCATAAGGATGAGTTGAAACAGGAAATCGAAAACACCAACGGTGATGGAGATTCTATAGAGCATGAAAGAGACACAAGGACTACCCCAGAGCAAGAGCATTCATTGGTGAAGCACAAGACAAGGAGAGTTGCAACGCTCGATGCATTTAGGGGCCTCACCATCGTGGTTAGTTTAGCTTATCAAAATAGTTTTCATTTTTTATTAGTTTTTTAGTATAATTTATTAAAATAAAGTGTTTTCACCTTATAAGTTCAATGATTAAACTTATGACATAATTGTTGTGTAAAAAAAGTATTAAATGAATATTTTATCAAGTTCTATATTTAAACATATCTTATATATTTCTAAAAACAACAAGAACAAGAGTTTCATTATTTAAACATCAAACATTTCATATCATATATAATTAATTTTATATTTTTTGGAAATAATTTTTATACATGCATTTAAAAAATATAAAATACAACTTTTAGAATGTGTTGCCTATATATTTGCAGCTGATGGTACTGGTAGACGATGCTGGTGGAGCTTATTCACGCATTGATCACTCCCCTTGGAATGGATGTACATTGGCTGATTTCGTTATGCCTTTCTTTCTTTTCATTGTTGGGGTTGCCATAGCCCTTGCACTAAAGGTACTACATACTGCTACTTAAGTTATATTCTCTGTTCTTTGTACACTCCATCTATCTAAATATTTATCTTCGACAGGTTTGTTTCTGAGTGTTTCTCTTCACAATAGTAGTGTTATAAAGTGTTATTCATAGTTGACTATTTTTATTACAACAATCTATTTTAGTTTGAATAAGTTATACAAAGATTTAATGAGATTAGTTGGTACAATAGTTACCTATTACTCTCCTTCATTTTGTCACGACCTCTTTCATTAATGTATATACGAAGAATTAAAATTAATTTATGGACGTATGAATTTTCTGAATTATTAATTCAAGCTATCTTCCTTTATTGTTTAGCATTTTTGGCTAGTAAACATATAATGTATTAGTTCACTGATAACCCTTTGGTTGTAACTCGTGAGAACTTAGAGAATCCCCAAAGTTAAGGATGCTGTGAAGAAGATAATCCTTAGGACATTGAAACTTCTCTTCTGGGGCATACTTTTGCAAGGTATACAAAACTCCTCAAGCTCACTGTTTTAACGCACCAATAATAAAAGATTAAACTAAAACTTTAATAGATACTAGAATTTGACAATAAATGAAACAGTGGAACTTTGAAGGATTCTGTTTTTGGGATTGGTTGCATGTAGTTAAATTTACTATTGATGTGACTAAGTAGGAATGGTCAATTCTAGCCATGCAAACTCATGTATGTATGAAAAAATTATTATATGATCCAAGACCACCATATGTTTAGGATTTAAAGAATGACACTTGGTAAGTTTTTAAATTAAAAGAAAGGATTATATATATATATATATATATATATATATATATATATATATATATATATATATATATATATATATATATATATATCTGTGTGTGTGTGTGTGTGTGTGTGTTAAAGCACGACTAAATTTGACTTGATAACAAAGTGCAGGTGGATACTCCCATGCTCCAGATGATCTCTCATATGGAGTTGACATGAGATTTATTCGATGGTGTGGCATTCTGCAGGTTAATTTGGATCAAATTTAGTATATGTGAGGCTAAAATTATCCAAATTATGTCATATCTATATTGTTTGTCTATGCAGAGAATAGCTCTTGTATATTGTGTTGTAGCACTAGTAGAGACATTTACCACCAAGCTTAGACCCACTACCTTGAGGCCAGCACCCCTGTCCATTTTTACTGCCTATCGATGGCAATGGTGAGAATAACATTTCAGTTTCAAAACTCAACTGAAATGTAAAATGTTAAAATATATTTTTGATTTCAATCTTTATTTAAATTTGTTATTTTTATTCTTCAAAATTTAAAATAAATCATGTGGGTTTAGTCCGTTGAGGGACTGACAATGCATTATTTCAACTAATGCCTATAAGTAATGAGACACATACGTGTTACATAGGTTTGTGGGCTTTGTGGCATTTGTCATTTACATGGTGACAACCTTCAGCCTCTACGTTCCAGATTGGAGTTTTGTGGATTATAACGGCGAGGAACCAAAGAGATATACAGTATGTAATATTTGTCTATACGTACCTCCGTCGTATCTTCTGAAATTGTTCTTGGAAAACGTTATTTTGTTGTTAATAGGTGAAATGTAGTATGCGAGGACACCTTGGTCCTGCATGTAACGCTGTTGGGTACGTTGATAGACAAGTTTGGGGTGTTAACCATCTTTATACCCAACCTGTTTGGAGACGCTTGAAGGTTAGCTTATTGTAGTGAGACACAAATACTACACCTTTTGAGTAACAAACAACACATTCTCTGTTATAATCTTAATTTCAACTAAAATTTATTAATAAATACAAAATTAATATGAGTTTCACTCTCTTTAATTTTTAAAATTAATGTTTTTTTCTCATATTTTTATCCTTAATTTGCAATTGTTTAGTTTTTTAAAACATTTTTTCAAACGTCTTATAGGCATGTACACTCAGTTCTCCAGCTGAAGGCCCCCTTCGAAGAAACGCTCCATCTTGGTGCCGCGCTCCCTTTGAACCCGAAGGCTTATTGAGGTTTTATTTCGAAATAGATATTCGTTGATTAAGTAATATAAAGTAATTAATTATTAATTTTACTAAATTTAACACTTCATGTCTCATATGTAAATACAAGTGAATTGAACAATCATTAATTATTAAAAAAACATTTAATAGTATTGATTGCCCTTTGCTTCTTTTTATACAGTTCCATATCAGCTATCCTCTCTGGCACAATTGGCATCCACTATGGGCATGTCTTGATTCACTTTAAGGTTACAGACTTTACCAAACACATTCCTGTGCCTCGTGCACATACTAAAATTCTACTTTATTAGTGAAGGCGTGAAACATTTTGACAGGGTCATTCCGAGAGGCTCAAGCAATGGCTCTCAATGGGGCTTGTGTTATTCATCCTAGGCATCATCCTTCATTTTACAAATGGTAAGTTAGTGAGACACGTCCTCTTAAGATAAATCTTACATTAGTGCAAGATTAATCTTACAAAATTTCCATTAAACATTGCAGCTATTCCAATTAACAAGCAACTCTACAGCTTCAGCTATGTCTGTTTCACAGCTGGGGCAGCTGGAATTGTCTTCTCTGTGTTTTACATCCTGGTAGGAGTAACATAAAGTATTTTTTTGGTCCTTTCTATATAGGGTGTATTTATTAAATTTGATAAATTAATAAAAGTAATTAAATATGGTTAATTTTTTGTTTTCTAAAAAATATTATAATATAGCAATTTTATTCTCAATTAATGTCATTGAACTTAACTTTACTGTCAATATTTATTTTTATTGGTTTTAACTTAGACTCCAACTAACTTTATTTATTAAGGGTAAATAAAAAAATGCTTCATAAAAATTATAAAGTGTTTTATAAAAAGATTCACTAAAATTTCTACAAGGTACCATATAAAAACTATCAAAGAGAGTAATTCAACAGAAGAATCATTTAATATTGGTCATTAATAAATTCTTTTTCTTTGTTTTAATTTCTTCAACCTTATGATTCTTCTTTAATATTCCTCAAAATCAAACAGATAGATGTCTGGGGGCTTCGGACTCCATTCTTGTTCTTGGAATGGATAGGAATGAATGCAATGCTAGTGTTTGTGATGGCAGCGCAAGGAATCTTCGCAGCATTTGTTAATGGATGGTATTATAAAGATCAAGACAACTCACTAGTGAGAAGAACCTTACCCTCTGATTTATATTATGCACGGTGTATACTTTAATTTAAACACAATATTTTTTCATATTAGAAGCTAACTATTTTATGGCTTATGAAAACCATCAATCAGGTATACTGGATACAGGAGCATGTGTTCATCAATGTTTGGCACTCGGAGAGGTTGGGAACTCTGTTATATGTCATCTTTGCAGAAATCACTTTCTGGGGAGTGGTTGCTGGCATCTTCCATAAATTAGGAATATATTGGAAATTGTAGGCTAATTACAGAGTCAACCATGCTAATTAATTAATACAAGACCTACAAAAGCATAACATCTCAATTTTTCTTTGCCTTTTGTCCATTGTGTTGTTTGTTTGTTACTATATTCAATCCAATTTGTGCCAATCAGTGCCTATGATTTTTCCCTAACCCAACTTGTCAAAGAGAGTATTCACAAAGCTCCATATGATGGTCCAAAAACGAAGGAAAATCTAAACAAGTTGCAAACCCGTCTTTGTTTTTCAATTTCGTATTATTTAGCTAATCCTAGATGGACCCATGCAATAATTCATAAGTTCTTATCTGTTGAACTAAACAAACTAAAATATAAAAGAATTAAAATAAATCCTATCTGACAACCAACTTTTAAAACATGGTCCATTGGTAATTTCCTAATGAAACCATGCTACAAAGATAACATGAACACAGAAGCCTATCATATCTGAGACAAACATGAAAAGAAACACGTGATCTTGCGCTGTTGCACATCACGGAGTCCCTATATGATCCTGACATTTGGTGATGAGAACAAAAAATATGAGAAAAAGGTCATGTGAATTATTGTTTCAAAAGATGGATTCACTGTTAAGACTTTAGACAAATTAAGAAGTTGATAAAGCAAAAAGCCAATTAAAAATCCATTAAATAGGATAAAGTTGATCAAAATTAAGTACATTAATGTCTGAACCGATTTTTTTTAAAAAATATCTAAAAAAAGGTTCACACACACGTATGAATTACTATTATTTGATGATTTATTATCAATTTTTTATCTTATGAAATATGTAATATAATTTTTTATATCAACTTTAATTTTTACTTCACTTATTTTTAAAATTTTATAATAGTTCAGTCTTAGCTCAATCATGGTTATAATAATTTTATAAATTGAACATTTTAACCGTGAATATATCTTTGTCGGTTCAACTCGTGCGAGACTCGCATTGTATATTTTCTACTCTTCAAAGCAGAGAAAGCACGAGACAATAGAAATCAATGAAATTACAAACGTATCTTTGTACTAATTATTATATTGTATTTGTATAGGTATAAGTGTCCTTTAATATGTTTTATTTTTTTATTTATTTTAAAAACTGTTCTATATCTTTTATTTTATTTTTCTTTATTTATTGTATTTTTTTTTCCTAATCAAAACAACACATTAGTAATAAATAATTAAAAAATATATAAACCAGTGTCGACACTAGTTTAAAAAAAATCCTGAGAAATATCCGGCGCAGACAATTAATAAGGGCCGTTGCACACAAAGCAACAAAATAATCAATTATCGCAGATTTAGAATCTCTGAATGTATTGACCAAAAACAAACATGCTCGAATGTGACATGACCCTGTATTAATAACATACTTTTTAATATATTTTATTATTAATTAAGATTTATTAAAAATAAAAAAATGTAAAATAAAATATTAATTTAACGTAAAATAAAAATAAAATTTATATTATTTTTATAATTTTCAATAAATTTTATCTGACTCTAAAAAAAATTATTAAAAAAGTCTAATATTATTTACTCTCTTGTGTCCATGTAGGGGACAGCTAATGAAATCCAAATTCAACACCTAAAAATTAATTATCACAATCCAAGGACGTGCTCTTCCATCTACAATGTCCAAAAAAATGGATATTGATATACCCAAAAGAAAAAAGGAATACATTTGTCGTGTTCAAAAATAATTACCGGATTCTCGTATAAATTTTCATATAGTTAAAAATTATTTTATGCATTTAATACTTATAAAAATATATGAAAAAAAAATACATAATTTAGTTATCATTATTGGGATACACAGAGACAAAAGTTTATATAATTAAATTATATAAAAGATCATCATAAAAAATTTTATTTCTAAAAAAAAAATCCACTAATTAACTCGGCTGGTTAAGTCATAAGACCTGAATTGTGTACATATTCTTTTTTGTACGTAGAGTGACTTTACAAATTCAATTTCTCGTAACATACTATAAATTTTTTAAGTTAAATATATTTTCCCCTCAAAATACAATAATTTTAATTTTAATTTCTAAAAAAATATTTTTGATTTTAGTCCTTATATTTTTTTTAAATTGTAAATTTTAGTTTCTAGTCATTACTAAATAATAACATGGTTGACTTAAATGTTATCACACGTCAATTTTATACCATGTCTTGCTTTTTGATAAAGTTATATTAGAGATAGGTACTAAAACTAATAATCTTAAAAAAATAAAAGCTAAAACAAAAAATTAATTTCATAAGATATAAAATCAAAAATATTTTAAAGAATAAAAATATATTTAATCATTTTCTTTTACCCTTTCTCTCTCTTGTATAAGATGTTTATAAACTTCCCTCACATAAAGAATAATAATAATTAAAGGAACACATCAAACAGCAATCAAATGCTGTTGTTATCTGAAAGTGAGTGAAGAAAACAAATTGGAAAATCTCCTGTATTTTTAGAAACAGATAATTACAGATTTGATACTACAAATATCACTAGAAAATATAAGATTCATATGTTCTACTGAAAATTTTAGGTAAAAACGAAGCACACTTGTGGAATTTTATGTTCTTTTTAATCCTAAGTTGTGAAGAGTATAAACTTCTCCATTTCTTTCTGATGTAAAACATTTTTCATTCAAGAATTCTTACAGTACTTCTGGTAATATTTTTTAATCAGAGTTAAAGTTTCACCTGGATAATATGTGCTAATTTTTAACGTTGGTGTGGTAATTTTTAAAGTTTCACTTCATTTTCATGTATAAAAAGCTCTAAGAAAAACAGACCTCCTCCCCATAATCGTCTACTTGCTATTGCCTTCTCATTTATATACATTAAGTTAGAATTACAAAAGCTGAAAAGTATAGCGTGGCAAAGATTATCATTTGCTCACTACATATTTCACAATTACATTTACACCTAATAATAAAACTATATGATATTAGACAACGTTATCTGTACAGAGGCAGAGATTCATCCAAAGGGTACAATGCCATTATAGGAACCATTGATTACTTATTCCCAACCCATCAGCATTTTCCAAACTCCCTCCTCAATCTTGTTCCTTGTAACAGATAACCCCTCCCCTTCATCCAACAATACTCTATAAACCTCCCACTCCCGGTCTCCAATTAAGTGTCTCCCAATTTCAGCCTGTTGAAACAATTAGCCACAATATTAACATATTATCAGTTTAAAAACAAGATAGAAAACAAATTATGAATTGCTTTTACATGCAAAACACAAATATGTCACGTTGCTAGAAGCCTAGAACAAAAAACACAAAGCATGTGAAATCTAGTAAAACTGTCCTCTGCTAATGAGCAACTGAGCATAATTCAAGAAAGCATAATATCATAAATATATCAACTAAACAGTAGGAAGCATAATAAGCAGGTGAGTAATTACCGAAAAGATGCAAGTGCCAAGCATTTTGAGAGCAAGAGTAATGTCATAAAAAACAAGAGGCCGGCCCTTGCCAGACAACTCCACAGGGTTTGCAACCAGAAGCTCAGTATCGGGCCCCCTACTCACCACGGCGACTCTGAGAGGACGAAGCAGTTCCATTCTAAGGCGTGATGACAAAGAACTCTGCTTGTTGGGATCAACTATCTTTTTTCCATCTGCTTGCATGATGAACAAATCAATCTCACATTTTCCTCTAGGTTTTGTAGTGAAACGCCCATAAGAAATCTGGTTAAATGACAAATTAGGTTGCATCATAAGAAGGTATATGTATGCCAGTGTTTCATGAATCCTAAAAAAATTGGAGGGAAGGAAAGTGAAATTTCATTATGAGGTATTCACATACAAAAAACAGCACATTTAAAACCAAATAAAGTTTGTAGGCTTACTAGTTCTTTATGCAGATGAAACTACCCAATTTATAGCATCATAAAATCAATTTTCAGAAATCTTGAGTTATCTAGATGAGAAACACTAACAATATACTCTCTAACACACAATTATTGACAAAGTTAATTAAAAACTACAAAAATCATGTAGGTGCCTCTCTTAATTTAATGATTATTTCTATCATACTTTTGTTGTTTTCAATAAATATTAGTCAATAACTGAGAAAGTGTTAAAAATAGTGTGTTTGAAAGTATGTTCTTAGCATTTCTCTTATCTAGATTTCAAATTTCTATACCTGAATGTTGTAGTCCTTTAGAGTTCTCATGATGTCATAAAGAAGACCTTTGTGGTCTTGGCACATAATTTGGACAAGGGTATGAGCAGGACTAAGCAAGTTGTCCATCGTGATAGAAATATAATCTGATCTAAGAGTACCACTTCGAACCAAATCAGGCAATTCCAAATCAAAGACATCTTCAATGATTGCAGTTGGAAGGAATGGAGATGTCTGGGAGCAAGCAGTAATTTCCGGGCCAACCAATTCAATGTCAATAGAAATGATAGCATCACCCAAAACCTCTGTTAATTGTGCAATCGTATCATTCTGTCTTTTCTTTGTATGTAGTTCTTCCCTGATACATTTGCAAGAGTAAGGTGTAAATTACATTGGTATGCTCAAAGGAAATGGAACTGTCATCAAATGGGCATTTTGTACATAAGAATAAATTTCCACTCTCACAAAACACATTTCAGCATCCTCTAATAAAGGGGACAACTATGACTTTGTACATGGACTAGTAGCACATTTTCCAAAACAAACCCAAAAAGATTTTTAATACGATGGCAATCAGAATGACAGTAATTCTGAACTCAATTTCAAAAGAGTGATTACATTGAGAATTTCAACTTAGCTTCCACACAAGTTAATTCCGTAGAAAGATTTGTTTTTCTACGGAAAGGGACAAAAAAGAAAAACTAATTAGCATTCCAATTCATCTGCAGCCATAATAAATAGATAAAGAAGTTTAAACACAAATAGACTGGCAAGCAGAAAATGTGAAACCTGGTATCTGTGATGAAAAACATATCCATGACTTTGCCATCAGGTGTAGTAGATACCTTCACTTTCTTTATAGTAAGCTCTAGCTCACAAAGAACCTCTGTAACATCTGCCATCATCATTATCAAGACATTCATGTATTCTGTTTGGTCTTCCAATTCCACACAACAACATCAATGTCACAAACTAAAAATCTCATGCAACACATAGTATATGCATCCATAAATAATCCTCAATGTAACTATAGAATTGGAATGCATTTTAGATGGTCATAATGGCCGTTTTAAGACAGCCAGTTTATTTTTCTTTTTGCATGATTTCATAACAATCAAACTGAATCCTACTGTTCGTTCACCACTCCATAAAAAATGTGAGAACAAAGGGGGTTGGGAGATTAACACCTTGTTGGAGAAACTAAAACCATAAGTATATCATAAAGCCCCCAAAGTGTTGATTCTTGACCTTATATCGAAACAACAAGCACATCAGATTCCATCCATCGCTAAACGGATTGATATCTATCAAGTTATCAACAAAGGAAATCTTGGACCAACCAACCAATAATGTCTAAATTCTATTTTTTTAAGAAAAAGAAAAGAGCAAGATAACACACATGTAAAATGGATTCCCAAGTAGAGTTTCCAAAATTACCATGCAATAACCCTCTCCGATCGTAACAGCAAAACATCAAAAGAAAGACATCAGGAGGCTGTGGTGGCTGCAAGTCATAATAAGAGATTCCAGAAGCTGAGGAGCAAGAAGGGCATGCCTCAACTAGCCTATTCTTCAACAAACTCCACCTCGTTTTCTGTTTCCCAACCACCCAGAAAACTATATAGCACCATATCCCATCGGTTGAAACATCTTCATTGCAGGACATGGCAAAAAGTAAAGAAACAAGAATCAGTTTCAATCACAAATTAAGAAAAAGTTCACTTCAAAGTTCGACGGGTCAAGCTCAAATTCAGCAAACTCACACACCCATCTCCCAAATCTCTCAAATTCAAACAAAAGATGACAACACAAGGACAAAAAAAGTGATTTTTTAACGGATTCCAATCTCACCCTTTAAGGGTCTCAGCAAAAGTACAATTACGAAGTGTTGATTCATGGTTAGTTAGTTGGGTTACCTCCTCTGACAATGTTGAGACCAAAGAAGAGTATGATACGACACAAATCACAACCCAAACCAGTTTTGTCAGGGCAATTCACTGTGATCACTGTTGGATCACCTTCTTTGTCTGGCTGCGCTATGATTACTACGTCGTCGTATAGTATACCCATAATCTTCGTGGTTTGGTGCTGATTCAAGGTTAGAAACTATTGGAGCAGGAATAGGCGTTGAGGGTGTGAAGCGTTTTTCGTGTGCCACTGTGCAGAGACAGTACCAGAGGTCTGTATTTGGTAACTGTGGCTTCTGCTTCAGAGGTTGGTGTTGTTGGATCCTTAGTCCAGAAGTTGGAGCCAACGGTAAATCGAGGAAACGGGAGTTTATTATCAGCAGTGGTAACGGGTCAGAGTCGTGGGATTACTTTTTTTTTTTTTTTAAATAAAATGTATTGGTTAAAAATTATAATAAAAGTATGTTAATAATGATTTTAAAAATTATTTTAAATTAACATTTAATATTTTTTTAAGAAAATCGGTGCTTAGAATTTAGAAATTACATTAAATCCCAATTCGAATCAAATGAATTTTCTTAGGAATGCTAAACTCTCTTATCGTATATTTTTCTATTCGGAAGACTCCAATGTAAAAGATGCAAACATTTGAGAGTACGCTTTGTTTATGTTTATGTATTTAACACAGAAAACTGTTTTTTTTTCTACAATAGAAAATTTGAATTTGAATTGGCAGTTGTTTTAAAGTATATTATTATGTTTTTAAAAATATTATTTAGCCATTAAATATATATTTTTTATAAACTTAACTCGTTTGGTTGAATTAAAAAATAGAATATATGTCAAAATTCAAATGCTAAAGATTTAAAAAATGAGAGTGAAAATTTAAAGCTAATAAACACCAGAGGTTTGATGCAGATGACAGAGTTTGTTTTTATTTTTTTGTATCTAAACATTGTTTTATAGAATTATTTTAGAAATTTATTTCATATAAAAAATTGAAAATTTTATTTGAGCACAGTAAGTTATAATCTGTACAAAAGTAGTATGAAAAAAAATATAAGAAGAGACGTGCTTTCCATTTTTTTTCCAGTATGTTTCGGAGAATAAGAATAAAAAATATTTAAAAGATGTTTTGAATTTTGGTTTTTAAAATCATTTTTATTTTTTATTTTAAAATAATAGTTAAAAAATACATCATCATTTTTTTTAATTTTTAAAAAAATTAAAAACTAATTTTAAAACAATAACCAAACACGCTCAAAAAATGTCATTAGATTTTCTCTCTTAAAGTGAATTTATTTTTCTTAACTCAAATTAACTAGAGTCTAAATAACTTCTAAATATTAAGAATTTAAGAATAAAAAGGTTGTATTTAGATGTAAGAAAAATTAAATTTTATATTATATGATTTTAATGTTTATTATTTTAGAATATTTTATTTGAATAATCACAGAGAATGTTTTGTTATGATTCATCTCTCCCTCCTAAAATTTAAACTTTCATGCTCAACATCAAGATTAATTATAATCCGAGTATCTATTCTCCCACTCACTCTTTCTTTTACCAAATTTTGTTGGTATGTTTGTAAAGTTTATGTTATGTGATTGAAATATCTTGCAAACTTAATATGACATTGTTTAAACTTGAGCATTGTGATTATTTCTAACAATTGAAATTGCTTCAGAGGAAGAAAGAGTGGCCCCAAGAGAGAAATGATGGCATATAGAGAGTGATAACTTCTAATTAAAATTTGAGAAAAAAATATAGGATCTAAAATTTTTTTATTTTAGTCTATTAAAACTCTTCATTATAATTTATTTAAATTTTTTAAAAGTAAATATTAAAATAAATAATTTTAACTTATAAAATTATAATTTATTTTTAAAAAATAAATTATTCACTTAAAATATCTTATTTAAAGACACTCTAAAAATTAATAATAAAATTGCCAGATGAAAATATTATTTTTTATTTCATGATAAAAATGAGTATATTATAAAAATAGGAGTGTATATAATTATTCTTACAAATTTATTATCATTCTAATTTTAGAACTTTTTATTTAAATATTTTAATTATTAATTTGATAGAAAAAAAAAAGTAAGTTGAAATGATTCGATATCACTTTATTAAACAGTAAAACGAAGTTAATGAAAAGGATAAATGAGAAAAGAAAAAGTAAGTTGAAAGATCAACTTCAAAAATAACTAAAGGAACTAAACTAGAGCTTAAAATAAACATTAAAATAAGAAACTATAAAATTGTCAAGTAAATATAATTTTTACTAACAAAACAAAGATCATTCTTAACTAAAAACTAGCTCTCCACAGGATAATGAAAACATTTTATTAGTCATTGAGAAAATATATATTTGAATAAGTAATTCAAATTTATAATATTCCTGTAATTTATTTAAGACGTATAAAAATAAATGAAAATAAATATTGTACTTGCCACCGACAAAAAAAAATTACAATACCTATTCTCACGATCCTGTGAAAGAAAATTTCAAAATAAGAAAAAAGAAAAAAAAATTGACATTCTACCGAAAAGAGAGTGTTAGATTTTGCAGTCTCAGTCCAACACTTATTTATTTGTCTTCTTTTTTTTTATCACATTAGTTTTCATATTTTTTTTTCTCTTTTTTTTTTATCTCCTTATTTTCACATCAATCTCACATTACACACGGGATATAACACAAACATTATCCTTCAAAATTTATTTATCTTATTGATAATAAAGATTCAAATTTGCGTTATCATAAAAAAAAAAGTATGAGGAATTGAAGCAACTGAGCAAATATATGTTTCTTAAAGTTTTTGGCCAAATAAATATATTTTTCGAAACTTATTATAAAAGAATAATATCATTTACTAAGTTAGAATAAATTTTGTTACATGATATCAAAATTTTTGTCATAACAAGTGATACAACATGTGTTACATCATTTGTAGAGGCGAAACACCTTAAAAAAACTGCATCACTATCATGTGGCAATCATGCATGGACCTAATTCAAATGTCTGGATATAATCTTATTTAAGTATTTAAAAATGGTTAGACAAATTGGCTTATTTATTGTATAAATATCATGCTTTTTTAAAGTGTTGACCTGTAAAGGTGCAACACATGGGACGAAAAAAATAGTGGGAACATTATATGATAAAAATTATTTTCAATTTTATTTTTTACATTTTTTCAACAATAAATTTAAAACAGTATTCTTATTTAATTAAAAAGTCGAATTTCCTCTTATATTGTGTAATATTTAAAATTACAAGCATCAGTTAATTTAATCTTTAAAGTTATAAAAAGTATTAAATATAAATTATTTTAAAATTAAATTGATAACCTCTGCCCAACGCCCGTTACTCGCTCTCGGACCGCACGAATCGGGTGGTCAAATCAAGACAGCCAGAAAAGAGGAATAATAATTAATAATGACTAAATAGTTTTAATTATTATAGTCACAACCAATCAAAACATAACACATATTCAATATATAATAACATGTGATTAGTCTGAACAACTCAAATTAAAAAAGTAAACAAATGTCTAATATATAAAGGAAAAGAACTTTTGGTCAAGTATATTATTACACATTTATTGCCTTACACATATTTTTCAACCTTATACCCTTTCTAATTTGAGTATTAGAGTGCTTCATTTGAAAAACAAAAACAAAAACAAACAAACTTTAGAGTGGGTATATACAGTCAAGTGAGGTTTCAAATTTAAGTGTTTTTGATATAAATTCAACCTAAAAAATACAAGTCTACGGATATGAAAATTGAACACTACAATTTTTAACCACACACACAAGTTTGTAAAGTTTTTGCTTTTCTCTTCTTTCCCATAGACATCTTGACCTTTTCTTTGAATATATTTCACCTTCATCCATTCTCTCCCATCTCTCCCCTTACAAGCTACTATAAATGTCTCTTTCTCACACATGCTTCTAAAAAGTTGTGTATCATGTCAAGTTTTCTTCTTGATGCCCACTACTTTTTCTCTAATGCAAAATGTTGGCATCAACATATCTCTATTTTCTTACATAGATCTAAGTTATTGTGGAATAGATATGAGGTCCAAATAAAATCTAAGGCAAAAAAAATGACTCCAATGTGTTTTAGTAAAAACTCATTCACACAACTCATTTGACTTGTGCTCACTCATACTCATTTCAAAACAAAATTAATCTCTACTACCAACTAAGTATAAAACAATTATTAAGTATATACATATTCTCTTATTATTACTGTTTCACTTGTTTTATCTTTCATTGTCAATTAGCTCAATCACATTTAATTGAATTTCTTCTCGCATTTTTTCAAAGACAAAATAATTTGTCAAAATACTGCTACAATTTAAATATTATTATTTATTAGAACTAAGACAAATTACACTTTTCTTTTATTGACTTGATGCATTTTAGTTCATACATCATATACTTCAACTTATGTGTAATTTTAATCTTCCTAGTTATTAGTTTTTTACCCCTAAAATTTCATTCTATAATTAATATAAAATAGCAATATCAAGTTTTTTAAAAAATAACTTTGATTTTACTTAATAATTCATCATAAGCATTAAATTCTACCAGTTTAACTGTTAAATTAAAAAAATTTCGTAAATAAATTAAGTTTACAAAAAATTATATAAATGAAACATTAAATAGTAATTTATCAAAAAAAATTATTTTAATGTTTAAAATGTATATTTTTAGAATATAAACAAATGTTAATTATAAAATTACATATTTATAAATGTTTGGTTTATCTAAAATTTGATATGCGCATCATCGACATAAACATAAAGTATTATTTAAAAGTTGAAATGATAAAAATTAATATTTATAAAAAATTATTAAATGGAATAACTCCCATAAAAGTTACTCTTTGGGAGGAACTGGATCCATATTCTTAAAAAATATAATTAAATACATTTTTATTGAATTCTTTATTATATTTTATAATTTGTATTAATCTATAATATATTACATGTTTAATATATTTTTTTAAATTCTTTAATGAAATTTTAGAGTAAAAAAATTAATTTCAATATTTAAAATAAATAAATATTAACAATTAAAATGAAAAAACCAAAAAATTAAAGCACACTTTTTATTTTTTTAGTTTTTATTTGTTGACATCTATTTATTTATATTTTAAAAAATTAAGATAATATTATTTCTTATACAAAGAGTAAATTTTAGGATCTATTTGGAAAAGTTTTTGATATAAAAGTAATTTATGACTCGTATAAATTATTTTAAATTTTTAATAATTTTTTGCTATAATTTATTAAAATAATTTATTTTT